CAAGCGGCGAGTTACACAAGGAATTTTAAAGGAAACATCATTAGGAAAAATCGGGACTTTTGTTTGAGTGTCGACTTGTGCACATTGACGAGTTACAAGACGGCGACTTAGACCAATTTTACTGTATTACTCATATGTTTTGGCAGGTATCAAACCAAAGGAACAGGGCAACAGCATTGTAAGGCCTACCGTGGTACATGAAGGAAAATCCTTCTGTATTCATGAGGATCGTGAGGTAAGAAGTGTGATGTCATCCAAAAAAGCTAGTTCACACAGAGCAGAGATACACTTATGGATTATTTGGCAAAACTTCTCTAAAGAACAGGCACTTGTGTAAGCCCACAGATCCTGAGGAGGATGTCATCAGAGCAATGCTGATTGGAATACTTTTAGTTGCTGAGGATGTGAAGGAGCCCCTTCCAGCTTCCTACAATGATATTGCCATTGTGGTTGAATAAATTATTGTCATACGCCACTTGCGAGATGTACCCAATGCTTTTGTCAATCTGATGGGACTGCTCTACATTCTGAACATTGACTATCCAAAAGACTTGAAGTACACTTTTGAGGTAATTCAATAACTGTTCATGGGAATAGGGCTGGACGCATGCACTGCCAGAGTCCACTCTCTGAAGAATGGGAATTGCTCATTTAATTAGATAATGCAAACATCTTCATAGCCTGTGTTTTGATTTTCTGTGTCTTGATGTTCTGGCTGATCTTTGAAGCAAATGTGTCTTTTTATATTTACTTATACACTTTATGTATTTCAGCAGCTGTTAACAGAGGCATTTTTGCAATATTTGATGTATGTTCTGGCTGGACTCTTTAAAGTATCTCTTTAATGCATCAGCAAGACACTATTTTATTTTTATTATTATTTTTTGGCAGCTGCACACTTGACATTTGATATTTTTGAAGTGTTTTTGTTGTAGCTTCTCTATTCATTCTCTATTTTATTTTGTTTTAAAGCAGCCTTGAACAGAGTGGACATTTGAACAATACCTGTACTTCTGATATTCTGACTGACAGTTGACCATGTGTCTTAGTTGATATTTGTCTACAGTTGAGATAATAAACACTCCGGATTGAAATATGTCTTGGGCTATTTTCTGTGTTAATATTTGTTGGACTGCTTCTCTTGTAGATTAGTAGTAGCTTTGTAGGTATTATTTGCATATCCTGGTAGGTTTTGAAATGCTCTATCAACCTCTGTAAACTTAACCAAACTAAATCTGAGGACTAAGTTAAAAAAACATAAGTATTTTATGTTGAACAAGCATGATTCACATTTGTAAAAAAAAAAAAAAAAACTTCACCCAGCATTGGTTTGTTATTTTAGCTAATCTTTTTTAATCCAAATTGACACAAAATGTTCAGGCAACAGGCTTCATGCTGTATCAACTAATTTATTTAAGTGTAGTTAATTTTACACTTTACATAGATATAACTTAACTCTGTCAAAGCAACAAGATGACTTGACTAAGTCAAGTTGAGTCAATGAATAATTTTTTACAGTGTAAACACTTTGATCAGATCTTCTGGAAAATTTTCATGTGACACATCCTTTAAGTAAAAAATACTTTAAATCTGAGACTGTTTTAGTTAATCGTTTCCAAACCCAAAGTCTAGTAATCAGTCTGACTGAGACACACAAGCAAACTCAAAATATAGATGTAGTACAGTGAACAAAACCAAAAAAATATTGACAGAGTTCAGTTGAGAATCACCAGGTCATTTTTATTAGCTTAGCATCTAAATCATTGTAGGGTTACACTGTGCACTTGATTATATCTTTGGTTTTATGCACACATAATTCATCATCAAGTAAAAAGACAATTTTAAATCTAACTTACAAAAAAAGCTTGTGTGTAATTAAGGTAAAGAAATGATTTCTGCATAAGTATAATGAGTAGGAATCTAACATGTTATTGGGCAAAACAGCTTGGACAGTGGCTCTCAACGCCATCAGAGAAATATGATGGCACTGATCACAACATTTTTACTCTTTGCCTTTATTATTGTCAAAGCAATTGTCAGCAAAGTTTAGCATCTGCTTCATTGCAGTGAGAAGCAGGATGTCACAGTTGTCATTCAGCTCAATCTCATGGGAGTAATTCTTCACTGGAAGCACCTGCGACACTGGAATGCCCAGACGGTCACTCACGTTGAAGATCTGCAGAAAGACATGCAGTTCACACACATATTCCTATTGAAATATATTTTCTTCAGCTGCTGTATCAGGAAATTATTGTCAAACAGGATTGTAATAAGCCAGCATTAAAACAGCAGAAATCTGAATGCACATGAAAGTTGGAGAGTTCTTGAGGGCAACGAAATGTCAGACACAAGTCTATCACCCAGCACCACCCATCCTGCACAGGGTGATAGACTCACTATCCCATGTAACAGAGGAAGGAGATGCCCATGGTGAAATGCCAGCTCATTGCTGGTCACACACTGTGGGCAGTTTAGAGACACCACTTCACCCAAATGCAGGTTTTCATCTATGGGGAGAAACACACAATATCACATGCCAACTGCACAGACATGGTGTGGAGGTGGGATTCAAAGCCACAACCGTTGAGGTGTCAGGCCACAGTCCTACACGCAGAGTCATTTTGCTGGGTGAGAGTTGACTGGGGAGACACCAAATCTTCTTTAATGGGTCTTTCATAGATTTCTGGTAAAACTGTCAGCTCACAGGTGACACAGTGCTGCTGCTGTGTTTGAAACTTCATGCACATATTTGAAGTCATCAATGTACATATTGTCCATCCATTTTCAGGGTTGTGGGGGGGTACAGAGCTTATGGGTGCAAGGCAGAGAACAACCCAGGATGGGGCGCCAACCCTTCGCAGGGCAATTTGGTAATTCCAATTAGCCTCAGCATGTTTTTGGACTGTAGGGGGAAATGGGAGCACACAGAGGAAACCCCACAACGACACACGGAGAACAAACTCCACACACATGGAACTCTGACAGAGACCCAAATCCAGGGGTCAGAGGTGTGAGGTGACAGTGCTAACCACTGCACCACNCACACGGAGAACAAACTCCACACACATGGAACTCTGACAGAGACCCAAATCCAGGGGTCAGAGGTGTGAGGTGACAGTGCTAACCACTGCACCACTGCAGAATTTAGGACTAATTCCAGTGTTAGACCAAGAAACTCACCAGATCCCTTATGTAGCAGCTGCGGTACACGTTCTTCAAGTCCTTTTCCACATGTGGGCATGCTTTGTCAACTTGGGTCAGTAGCACCAGTAGGGGGACCTCTAAAAACATCAACAGAAAAGTCTCACTGTCACATTTATGTTGTATAGAGTAAGTCGTCATCAGGAGACAGAATTTCTTAAGCAAACCCATAGCATTCAGCACACTGATGTCTGTCTTGCACAAATGCAACTGCCAGCCTCACTCTGCCCTTCCTGAATCCACATGTGTTCAGCTGAGCTCATGATCATGTTCCAACATTCAGTCCCAGCCCTTTAAAAGTGTGCCCTATGTGAAAGAAAGCCCTCGAGATTCTCACAGATGGACTGGCTCTGTGTGGAGGAGCAGCCAGAAGCTCCTTCAGTTACAGTATAAAAACTGGTTCTGCCAAAACTATGGAAACCATTCAGGTTGTATTGTTTCATTCTATGAAACAATGAAGTGAATTTCTCTTTGTTTTTGCTGAATATCCAAACACTTTATTAGTGTCATTTAATTTTTTCATGTTACTTTCATGTTACTGCATCAATTTAAATGAAAGGAGATGCTGTTGGAACAATGACAACGTATTTCTTCAGACAACTTGGTCACCCTTCCCCCCATCTCATCCCTGCACCTCCCACACCCCCCATCTATAACCCCCCACACACAAACACACACACACACTCTCCCAACCTCTCCAAAAACCCTTTATTAAAATCTCAATGTAATCAGGTTCACCAGATCTGCATTTAAGTACCGCCATTAAGTGACACTGCTTCAAGTTTGGTGAGATTTTTCTCAAAATGAATTAGGCCCCAGATCACCACCTATTCAATGAGCCTGGGAAGTTTGAAAAAGATCTGTTGAATACTTTTAGGGTAACCATGTTCACAAGATCAAGTGTCTTCTGCAGCTGCCTTTTCTATACTATGTTGCCACCTGGTGCTACTGCTTCAGTTTTGTTATAATTTGTTTCAAAATGAAAAAAATCATCTATAGAATGTTCCTATAGGAAGTTTAAAAAAGATCCATAATTGCTGCCACTGTGCTGTGTAACTTCAATTTTAGTAGAAATTGCCTAAAAATTTGATCAGTTCCAATGTGCTGGCAGGTTGAGTTCACAGATGACAGTATGGAGGCCGATCTGGTCAGCAAAACTTACAAATCTGTTAGTAGAGAAAAAAATAGAGTAGCTGGCAGCATAGTGCAAAAAGAACAACCTTCCCTCTAATGTAGAGAAACTTAAATGATGATTAAGTCCATGATGAAGTCCACCCCAATCACACCCCACAATGCATCAGTGGTTTCACTGTGGAAGTCATCAAGAGCACCAGGCTCCTCGGAATGTACATTCCTGAGGACCTCACATGGATCCTCAAGGCCACATCCATGGTAAAGAAAGAACAACAGCACCAGCACACATTCTCCATCACCTGAGAATAACAAGTCTTCCTCCCTCATCACTCATAATATTTTACAGAGGCACAATAGAGAGCTTCCTGAACAGCTGTATCACTGTCGGGTATGGAAACTGCAAAGCCCCACAAAGCAGAACCCTGAAGAGAGTAGTGAGGACAGCTGAGAACATCATTAGGATCCTCTACCATCTATCAAAGATGTTTTCCATAAGTACTGCATTTGGAAGGCCACAGGCATACTCAATGACCCGTCTCACCCATCCTGTGGCCTCTCAACCCCCTCCCATCTGAAAGGAGACTTCAGAGCATTCAGACCAACTCCACAAGATTATGCAACACCTTCTTTCCTCATGCCATTAAACTCCTCAACACACTTCTACCTCTGCACTCCTGTCTGGAATTCCATTGAATCAACACCAGGCACTTCCTGCATCAGATGCACATGACAAGAACTACCTTGCACTGCACTTTGTTGTATAAACCCACCCAGTGTTCTTTCACTGTAAACTGTTTACATGCATATTTCTATACTGAAATAATGTTCAGTCAAACCCACAGCACAGCCCTAGTCAAAAGGTACATTATGTACAGCATGTTTACTTACTTCTTTATTCATTATTGTCTAACCTGTCGTGTAATGTTTCAAGTCTTGGACAAATAATATTTCATTTTGTTGTACCCCTGCATAATTTGAAATAACAATGGAGTTCGGCTTGACAATGGATCCCACCCCCCATAACACACCACACCTCCCTCCCTGTTCTCCCCACTCATTCACCGTATGAGTCAGCTTTGTGCTGGATGTTACGAAGTTTGTGCCACGTTGCTTCAGGCACAATTTTTAATTTGTTGGTGTCCATCACAATAACCATGCAGTGGATCCTGTCTGCAAGTGGCAATTGGCTGTCAGCAGATTTCCCTGGTGATCTAGGGTTGAACTAAACAGAAAAAAAGGTGTGAGTGACACAAACTCAAGCAAAATGTTACATGAATTATTTCACACGACATTGTGTAAACACAGTACCTCATTCATGCTAAAAACAAATCAGTAAATGAGATTGTGGTGAGAAAAAGACCAGAAAATTATAAACGTGACTTTTGTAAGCCATTACCAGGGTCAGACCTGCATGTGTTCATACTGCAGGTGTTTTGAGGATTAGATATACTGGTTAGATACACAGTTCTTACAATGTACTGGTCTTTTATGTGGCCCTTCAGGATGCTCTCAATATCTTCAATATTCACCCCTCCATGTTCAATTTGTTCCACTCCCATGGTGTCACACAGGAGGAATGCGAGAGGTGGTCCATCTCGACCCGCCTGCACCTGGTAAGTGCGATACTAGAAGACGAACAGATGATGTCATTCATCTTCTAACTACTTACCCAGTACAGGTTACTGGGCAGCCTGGGGATTCAGTCCCTTCCAAAGGCACACGAGGACAACATATAACAACTGAATGACAGATTAAAACTAGAACGGATGCCTGCAGAAGGTTTTCGACTGCATACACACAGTCCAGTTAGCTGGCAAAAAACTCTTTCACAAGCACAGCGGGGAGTAAATTAAATCTTTATGATATATTCATTCCCAAACTTGTAAAAACAAAACACTAGCAAACAAAAAGAGTTTATCCAGTTTGTCAGCTTATCCAGGTCCGAGTCAGAGGGGGAGCAGTCTGTGCAGAGATCCTTAGGCCTCCATCTCCCCAGCCAGCTCCTCCGGAGGGATACTCAGGCACTCCCAGACCAACTGGGAGATATAATCCCTCCAGCAGGTCTTGAGTCTAGCCCAGGGACTCCTCCTGGTGGGACATGCCCTAAACACCTTCCCAGGGAGGCATCCTAAATAGATGCCTGAGCTACTTCAACTGGCTCCTTTTGATGAGGAGGTGCAGTGGCTCTACTTTGAGCTCCTCCCGAATGCCAGAGCTCCTCACCATCTTTAAAGCTGAGCCCAGGCACTCTGAGAAGGAAATTCATTTCTGTGATTGTATCTGTGATTGCATTCTTTCATTGACTACCACAGCTGAGGGGAGGAATGTATATCAACTGGTAAATCAATAACATTGCTTTCTATCTCAGTTCTTTCTCTTCCATGACAGAACAGTACAGCATCCACATTACTGCCAACGTTGCACTGATCCGCTTGTCAATCTGACCTCAGCCGTGAACAAGACCCTGAAATACTTTAACTTCTCCACTCGAGGCAGTAGCTTATCCCCTGACCAGGAGAGGGTTATCCACCCTTTTCCAGTCAAGAACTATGACCTCAGACCTGAAGGTGATGATCCTCGTCCCAGCAGCTACACAGTCAGCTCCAAACTGCCCCAGTCCATGCTGCAGGTCACAGCCTAACGAAGCTAAAAGGACTCCATCTTCTACAAAAAGCAAAGACGCAATCCTCAGGTCACCGAGCCGGACCCCATCTAGCACTTGGCTACACCTAGAAATTCTGTCCATAAAAGTTATGAACAAAATCAGTGACAAAGGGCAGCCCTGGTGAATTCAAACACCCACTGGGAAGAAGTCTGTTTACTGCAGTGTAGGATCACACATGCACATATCACAGGGCCTAAATTCCAGGTGGCCTGAGACAAGGCCGTGCCTGGTACGAGAGGCACCAAAGGGGGGTTACACACACGAACACACACAAACACACACAGATAACAAGGGAGGCCAGCACTCCAACTTTTATTGCCCTTGACTTGGCACACAACCCCCCTCCACATACACTCTGCCTTACATCTCACTCACCCAACAGACGGACACCCTAAAGGAAATTTCATTTAAGTTTGGCTTTTGTATACCCTGTATATTGATTTACTCACGACTACTA